GACCCACATGGCATAGCAGAACTCTCCTGTCTCTCTGCTGCTCCCCCGAGTAGTGTGTTTCAGTCAATCTACCTGTTCTGCTCCCCACTCTGTCTCTGGTGAGTCCTCTCACCACCCCCGTACCTCTGGTCTGTACCTCAGCTCTGTAGGGATAAATAAATAAATCTTTTTAAAAAAATCATGAAGAACTTCATGCCATTAACACTTAAAATTTACATGAAATAAACAAATTTAAAAAATATATGTCATATACATGTTACACATAACTTAAATAAAAACCATAACTATACTTATAATCATTTTCAAAAGCAAGAATAGGAAAGCCTTGCATAATAGAAAGTAAAAAGAAGTCTTTCTATTAGAAAAATGACTCAGATGGCTTTAAGTTGCACCAAAACTTACTCTAGAAACGAGTTACACAAATGATTCCAAAATACACAAAAAGGAACTACTCCACTTATTTTATGATGCTGGACTAGACTTGACTTGTCCCATTGAGGACATAGCGAGGAAGGAAATTTACAGCCTATTTGCACACAAACATAAATGCGAATGTTTTAAAAAATTAATAAAGTGAATCTATGAAAAGGCTGATATATTATGATCAATTTGATCTTTTCTCAAGAAGTGAAGGTTAATTTGGCTTTTTAAAAAAAACACCTAATATAACATTCACATATTAGAGAAGTAAAATCAGATCATCTCCTCAATAAATGCAGAAAAGATACTTACTAAGATTCAATACCAATTTGTAATTAAAATATAAGTAGCAAGTCAGGAAGGAGGAAATTTCCTCTTAAATAGGTATGTAAGTAGAATAGCATGGAAATTTTTTTCAGATAACCAGGAATAACTCTAGTTTAAAAAAAAATGAGTACAATCTTCATGAAAAAAATTACAAAGATTCATTAAAAAAATATTTTTAAAGACCTAAATAGTTAGAAAGATAAGAGTGGCCATGAATTGGAAAATCCACTGATATAAAATACACAATCTGACCCAGACTGAGAAAGTGGATTAAATATAGTCCCCATCAAAATCTCAACCAAAATTTTTGTGGAACCCAAGAGATTCAAGTATTTCCGTGAATGCTCCAAGGCCCAAGAACAGGCATGGCGCTCGGGAAGAGGGAACGGGTCACCCCACGTAGCGCAGAGCAGTAAGGAGGCAGAGTGGCCGACACACTGGCCAGGGCAGAGGAAACCCCGGGCTCAAGCCCCAACTTGTGTGGATGTGGGGTCATGACAAGGGCAACGCTGTGGAGCAGCAGGGAAGGGGGTCTTTCTGGTACCCCTAGTGCTAGGAGAACTGGGTATTCCTATGGGACAAAACTACATTGACCCCTCACATACATCAGTCAGTCCACACATACATCAGTCAGTCCCAGACAGACCCAGATGACTCCAGAGGGATTTAAGTGGGAAAGATGACCCAAGAGAGCTTTAAGAACATAACTTCGGAACGATAATAATGCCTTACAGAAAATTTAAATCAGTTAATATAATATAAATGTAATATGATAACAATGATAATAACTTAGGAAACTGCCATCCTGATCCTGGGAAGGGGAGCGATTTCTTAAACTAGAAACAAAACGTACTATCCAGAGGAAAGGGCTGAACCATTCAACTACTTAAAGAACTTCCGTTCACACAGACATCATAATGAGAAAGAAAAAGCAAGTCACAGTTTGGAAGTTTTTTACTTGTAAAACCATGATCTACAAAGACACCTTACAAATTAGTGTGAAAAGAATAACCACTTAGGAGAAAAAAGCTGCATGACCAATGAACAGCTAAAAAAGCATTTGACCTCATTAATAACGAGGGGCCCTTAATAATCACGAGGGGCCCGCCACTCAGACTCAGCGCACTGCCCATAACCCGTGGCCCCCGTCCAAAGATAAGCGTGGCCACACTGCGTGCTGGCGCGCTGAGCCACTGGGGGTCCTTCCTGGACACCACAGGCGTGTGGACTGACCCACCACTTGGGAGAACTGTTAGGGATTATTCGGTAAAGAAAGATACACACATCCAGCACCCGTCAGTGCAAATGAACAAATGAACAAATGCTGTATGCGGAAAAGACAAAGTTCAGGAGAAGAACGGTAAGCAAGGGAAGCAAGTAGTGCGAGGATATTTAATAGGATTCCATTGTTTAAAAGTCTGAAGACAAACAAAGCTAGAATTTTATATGATTTAGGAGTAAAAACATGGTACAGAAGCATGCGGGAGTGGTCAGCAGAGAATGCAGGATGGGGGTTAACCTGTGCTAAAAGTTAAGGTGGTGCCCACGGGTGAAAGCACAGCACTGTGAAGTGATCAGCGGTCACTGCAACAGGAGCTCGGTTCGGCCAGGGAGGCGGCAGACCTCTCCTGACCCGCCCACTGCTCCCCTCAGCAGGGTCTTTCAGTACATCTGCCTGTTCTGCTCCCCACCCTGTCTCTGGTGAATCCTCTTACCCTGGCACCTCTGGCCTGTACCCCAGTTCTTATATGCAAAATAAATAATTCTTAAAGGAAAAAAAAAAAAAGTTAAGGGGGGGTGGGGAGCTCAGGATAGTCACAGGCACTATAAATGCTTCTTTTCTTAGCCCAAGATGTAGGGACAGCCTCCCGCGTGTGCGTGCACACACGCAAGTGTACATGTCAGCTAGGTATTATTTTCAATACATTTAATAAATAGTCCTTGGCTTCTAATCAGTATTTACTAACAATTCCAAAAGACTCTAAACTATCCCATTTAAAAGCACTTAGCAGTAATAATAATACTAATGTGCGTCTCTGCCAGAGACTGAGTGATCTCCTCGCACAAATGTCTTCAATGTGCTAAGTCAGCTGGACGCCTTAGAGGACCAGCTGCTCTCTCCTGTGTCACCACACCTCACTGTCACCACGAAATGGTCAAAGCTGGTGTTTAAGCGCCCTGAATAGGTTCAACAGGGGCCAAAACTTCTGTAGTACTCGGCATCGGGCTAAGGGTCGAGCTAGAGGATTCTTGGTTCAACCAAAGGTCGGGCCTGACCCTGATGGGGCGGGGGAGGGGGAGGTCAGGTTGAAGGGTGGGGCTCCCCCGCCATCTGGCAGATACTGGCCGCACATCAACTATGTCCTGGGTCTGCGGCAGGTGTGGCTGAGGGGACACGAGGAACTCCCGGCATCCTCAGGCTCCGGATTCTGCAACGAGCTTGTCACAGATACATAGACACCACCACATGGCAGTCGGGCCCAGGGCCACTTCATCTTGTGTAGGCCGGTGCTGCTGAAATGTTTTGCCCAGGTTGGGAAGGAACCACGGGATCCCTAGCTACATCTGGCTCCAACTTTGAATAAAGTATTCTTGGGAAGAAGTTTTCCATTACAAAGGAAGAAATACAAATATTTCAAAAGCAAACAAGTCATCCACTGCTCTCAGACCTGCTGCCATGCTTTGCTTTTCTGAGCTTACAGCTTAACGTTAAAATAACAGGCTTGCATTCCTCAAATATCTCTGCTACTGTCTCGGACTTCTACTACTTGAAAGGGCTGTCAGCTGCTGTCACTTGCAGACAGTGCCATTTTAGCCACAGTTTACTGCTTACCCTGTGGTGTGGTCACTAGTGTAATAGGCCTCCCGGGGAGGACACCCCTGTTGTCCAGGTGGGAGTCACCTAGAGAAGGTGTTGGGTGAGGCAGGGGTGTCAGTGAAGGAATATTGATGAGTGAGATGAAGTCAGAGGTATCCGGCTCTGCGGTACTGCCGGGTAAGGGCTGACCCACCGGCTAAGCAGCTTTGGATGGAGTCCTGAAATACGCCTGGCGTGTAGGAGAGCAGGTTTGAGATCTGCAAGAAGTAAAACACTGCAGCAAAGCTCTCTAATTCACTCTGCATAAACAGCTGAACCCACCAAAGAAATCCCTAGTCAGAGGTTTCCCGGATTATAAGGAGATCTTTCTCCAAGGGGAAAAGAAAAGTGCCCTTTTCCTTAAAGACAAAGAAGTGTGTGTAATGGAAATGTGTGAGCCGATTTCCCAAGGAGAGCTGCTGAAACGCACTGATTAAGAACACTGTGAGGCGGTGCAGAGAAGTGGAGTCGAGATGACCCACTTAGCATTTGTAACTGCGCTTAGTGCTGAAAGCCCAGAGCCAGCTGGGCCCGCCTGCATTCCGCCCTTCACCGCTCGAGCAGCGGCCCCGCCCCAGCTCCGACCAGCCCGGGCACAGCAGCATTTTCTCTGCTGTAGCTGGACTTGGCTCCTGCACAAGGCAGTGACCTGGCCAAGGAGTGCACAAGCCAGTGTCCTCCGGAGGCCCAAGTTACAGGCCAGGATTCAGGGCCCGAGAATGGGACAGGGCCTCGTGGCTTACGATGATGAATATTAACAGACTGACTCAAGTAACTGCATTTCCTAGAGAATAAAACCAAGGCACAGGGAGGTCGCCTCTCTGGAGCAAGGCTGCCTGCTAACAGGTAATGTTACCTGGAACTAGGTAGTAGGATCAAGTGGAAGTAGGATCAGCAAGGTCCAAAGTAATGTTTGCCAAGTTTTATTCACTGGAATTTGTTCAAGATCACTTTTGCCATACCCTGTGTATCTGTATTAGTATGTATTTAATATTTCTCTTTAAATTGCCTTTCAAGCAACTCATTAGAGAAAAATTCTTAGTCCCGCCCTGAGGAAGAATTTCCATGAAGTCATATTTTGATCTGCAGTTATATTTTTTCTATTATATATTTAGAAGCGGGTAATAATTAACATAAAATATTCAGTCCATAATTCAAATCACATTGTGTGGCCCGAGGGCAGACACCGGGAAAAATGGATAAAGCATTTTAGCTTAATAAAGTTGCCCTAGCAGATCACGTCTGTTTCTGTGTGTCACGGAAAAACAAGAAAACAGGGAAGTTGGCACCAGGATTCTATGAAGGACTTAAATTAGATAGATCAGCGGGAGGGAAGGGGGAAGAAATACATTTCATAAGCTCTGAGTAAGGAAAAACAAAGGCCAGGATCACTCACATAAAATTTTCTGGGTATTCGCTCAGGGCCATGTCGATGATGTTGAGAGCATCGTGGTAATGCTTCTGTGCAGACAGCAAGAGGGCGAGCAGGTGCAGGGAGTTGGCGTCGTCGCCTTGAAGCTGAAGAGCTTGGCGGACATACCCCAGAGCCTCTGGTATCTGGTTTAACACAAAACCAAAAGATCTAAGCGCGCACACACTAACAGGGAACCATCATCTCAATTCGTCTCTCGGTAAATATCGAGAATAGATTCACTTTGTGCCACGCTCAGATTTTAAGTCGAGCTTTCGAGACTGTCACTGCAGACGCCCTCTCCAGCCGTGAAGCCACACAGTGCCCCTCTGCTTCCCTGCAGCACCACATCTAAGACGAGACAGGTGGGGATGAACACTTTCTTTTATCCCACAAAACTGATCTACTATTGACCATGCCCAAGGTACAGTGTGAAAACTCTACCAGACACAGGTGCAGATGACCAGGGGTTTCCAGGGGAGTTAAACTGCCTGACCTGAACTGTCTCGGTTTTTAAAGATGGCTGAAATTAAAATGTTAACAAGTTCCAAAAACTTTACCGGATCTTTCCAAATGTTCAGGCACCTGTGATTCCTTTCAAGTTCTTTTGTCCTGGATCTCCAGTAGACATCAAGGAAATATGCAAACAAACAAAACACCTTTCCAAACTACAACCCACAAGGAACAAATTGCCAGGCCACACACAAAGCCAACATATACAAATTCAAGTAGGACTCGGTCTAACTTAACCTTAAAAAAGCAACAGCTGCTCAAGACTTTCATGAACGCCACCAAGCACAAGGGCTGATAAAATGCATACATAATGGATATTCGAAGAGCCCAGAGTCCACGCAGGCTTAGCAGTATCCAGGAGAATTACTAGAATGTGAGGCTGGATTTCCAAAGGGCCTGCCACCGAAGCATTGACACAACCACCCCGGGGGGATCCATCCTCTCCCTCCAACTCCAGTCCCAGGGAGGGCTCTTCTGGGCTCTCCTGCTTCTTTCCAGTCCCCTCACTGCACAGGAGAACCCTGACTTCTGTCTAGCCCAAATCCGCTAGCTTTCCTTTCTGAAAGGATTTAGGTTATGCCTGTGGGCTAGCGAGGCATTCTGCTTTGGGATCACAGAGTCACGGCTCTCATACCTGGGAGAGGGGTCACCCGGCCTGACCAGTCACTGATGGGGAGGAGGCTGAATCCAGAGATACAATGGCCTGAGCCTGGCCTCAGGTATCGATGGCGAGAGGAGTGTGGCTCGAGACCTTCCAATTCTGCCCCTCTGGTCACTGGGGAAGCATGTGGGCCGGGTGGGTGCCACAGGCTCTGTCTACTATCCAGGCCTCAGAGTGACCAGCACTCAACATGCAGTCATGTGGAGGGTAAAGGCAGGGTGTGGTCAAGGCATCAACTTGCAGGGTTGACCAAAGCCACTGTGGACAAATGGCTACAGGACTCAAAAGGATGTCCCTGAGGGAGAGGTAACTCGGGGGATGCTCCCCTCACTCAGCGAGCATTAGCGGGTGTGTGACACTGTCGGGCAGCGTTCCTGCAGCCAGGGAGGGGCAAGGAGCAGCAATGGTGATGGGGCGCCGGGCCCTCCCCTCAGGGAACCTGAAGTCGAGTGAGAAAGACAGATGCTGGACAAGAGAGCGGAGCAAACACAGGGAGGCTTCCCAGAGGCGGTGAGAACTTTCTGGAGGAGAAGGCCAGATGGCTAACAGCCACAGCTGTTGCTGCAGCAGCTCTCTCGGATGCAAGTCCAGCTGAGAGCACCCCTTCCAGGGCCGAGCTCCTTACGGAGGCAGGGTCTTGCTCTCCTCTGTCCCCTGGCTGCTATTCCCAGGCCTCCAGGAGCTCAGATGTACGCTCCCACCAACCAGGAGAAGGCATGTCTGGGCAACTGACCTCTGGTCCACCCTCCTGTCAGCACTCAGGAATGTGCTGGGGCCACCACCAGAGCCTTGCACCTGGTGGGCTGGCGGGCATGTGGCCAGAGACTCCAGAACAGCTGGGAGGGCATGAGGATGGCAGAGGCAGCTTCTGGAAGCTCTGCTAGGAAGGTGAAGGACAGCAGGGCTTGCCCCGCTAGCAGAGTGTGACTGAGTCTCCTGTTTCCAGGGTTCCTCTCTTCTCTGTGTTTTAAGGAACTGGTATTTCTCATCTATGCCTGCTGGTACCCTCCTGAGCCACCAGTACCTGCAACAACCAGGCCCCGAGCAGGGCCTTAGTCCCTGCACTGGGTTCCGTCAGCAAGGGGCAAGGCTCTCTGGTGACTCCTGGGTTTTGGGCGCTGCTTCTAAGGAAGCCACCTGGCCCACAAACCCGGGCCCTCTAGGTTCGTGGATTTCGTTTTAAAAGCAGAGGGGCACGGCTGTGTCTCTTGTAGATGCTGAACCGGACCAGACCCCAGGCTTGCGGGAGGGTTCAGCATCCCCAGGAGAAGCTGTGGCTTCAGCTGAGCCTCGGGACGGGGGAGACCAGCTCCCACTCAGCCGAACACTGAGGGGGCTGTGCAGACAGGCGGCTGCCACGTCGGGGCCCCCCGAGGGACACTGACCTGTCTGGAGATGGCCAGCTGAAGAGCCAGGTAGAACGCGGCTTGGTGATCTGTTGGTGAGAGGCTGTGAGCCCTGAAAAAGCATTTTCGGCTATTAGTAAGAAGCGAGGCCATTTTCACCTTCCCTATCAAACGAGTATTCTATTGCATTTTCAGCCAAGATCACATCTGCAGTTTATTTAACATTTAGTTGAAGCTCTTCCCCTTTGCCCACTGAGAAGTGGAACGCTGCTCCCTGACCCTTGCATGCAGACAGCACACAGATGCACGTCTCTGTGGCTGCTGGGTGTCTGAAACGGCAGCCAGATCCTGGGAGGGGGAGCGACAGGTGAGAAGGCCTCAGGCCCGGAGGCCCGACCAACGCCTCCCTGGGCTGAGTGGAAGGGCAGCGTCTCTGTGACGGGGCGGCCAGGGGCACGCTGGGGAGGCGACAGCTGCTTTGGCTATTTGGCTAATGCTACTGCACCCACATTTCTGGATTTCAGAGAAACCACAGGGACTCAAAGACCTGACTTTACTCGTAAAAATGAGGTTTTGGGTTTTGAGGGAGGAGAGAAAGCTCTGCAGTGTTTGGCTGGCTCTGCTAAGTCCCGTCAGTTTGCGAATTCAGTCGGCGCTGCTGGATTTACTGGGCCCCGGGGCAGGAGAGAACGCCCGGTTTTCTTAACCGGCCTTGGACAGTTAAGAGGCAGACTGGCCCAACGGACGGCAGACATGGCCTACGGTGTGGACGTCAACTGTATTTCACCAGGAACCACTCAAAGTGGGACTATAACATACAACTATGTTAAACAGCCTGCTGGGAAGAGAGAAACAAGCTTACTTTCTTTACAAGGCACAGCAGAGCAGACAGTCCCCAACAGCCCCCAGCTAGCAAAGACCCCTCACTCTGTTCTGTGAACCTGTGATTAAAGGAGACTCTTCCACCAGCAAGAAACAAAAAACTCTCAAGATTCAAAAAGAGAGCCAAGTCCTTGTGGACAAAGTGCGCAAACGCACTGGGATGCTGACTGACTTTCCACAGGATGAAGACCACTGCCCGCCTGCCCCGGGGAAAGGGCTCAAAGGTCTCCTAGGTGTTAACCATCCTGAAAATGTGCTGAGTACAACGATCCAGGGACACCGTGGGGGCAAATGTGGGTGCTCACAACAGGGCTGACTGGCAGGACGCAGGGGAGCCGCTGGCTTTGTTAAATCTTTAGAGCAAAGCACTTAGACTCCCGACCCTAAACGCGGCTGAGGCTGAGTGTTTTGCCTGTGTTGCCCTTTCAGATGTCCTGTTTCTACCACAGGCCTACCCAGCATGCCCCAACTTTTAAATATTCCGCAGGCATGGGTTTCCCATGAATTTTTACATCAATGGATTTCCCCCCCAACCTCCCTACAACCCACCCCCCCGCCCCGTCATTCATAAAAAGTGAGACTGGATTCTCTCTCTCAATATTCAGGGAATATGAATACAAAGTGAGTACTGAAGCATTATTTATTTCAGCTCATCTTATTTCATAATTAATAAAGCTAGATTTCTACAGCCCTCCAGAAGAATCTCTCAGAGCTAGAATTTTCTCAGCCCTGTTTATATTTTACCACACAGGAAGTCAAGTCAAATAATGGATGCCTCTGTCCCACCCAGCTGAGTGATGAGGAGCCTGCTGGGGAAGGCCTCAGCCTGGCCTTGTCCAGTGATTGTCAGCTGTCAGCCCGTGGCTGTGAGAGGAGCTGACCAGTAGTGCAAAGACCTCGGTGTTTCCTGGGTGCGTTGGGACAGCACTTGGCTAGTGATGGGCAGCCACGTGCCAAATTTCTCATGAGGCACAATTTAAACATCGCATTTAAAAATCTCTTATTTCAGTAATTTGGCTAGTAAATTAATTTTTATCCTATGAAAGAAAAAAAGGAAATAAGAAAAATTATGATAAAACAAGAAGTGTGTGCTCTGGTCTTATGGGACCTTAGAAAATGTCATGCAGAGAAACCTCATCCCTTGACTTCCTGCACCAAAGATGCAGGTGGTCAGGTGGTCCCCCAAAAGTTTCTAGACAGAAGTGATCAAGCCATGCAGGTGAGAGGAAGGATGTTAGTGATCTTGCAAACTGCAAGATCCCTGCGCATGAGTTTAAAGTCTACTATAAACCCCATTCCCATAGAGTGATCACTGGGAGGCTGATAAGAGAAACCCAGAGACTCAAAAAGTCCCACAGGGACCCTTACACAGTGCTTCCTCTTGTCAAAGAACATCCATTAATTCAATTTCTCTTCCATATGGAAAGAGCTGATAGACTGCAGACTGCCTATCTATCCATCGAACTACTTATTCATAGACCCGTCCATCCTTCCAGCCAGCCAGCCATCCATTCATCCACTCATCCATTCATATTATACACTAACGGCTGTGATGCCAGGCCCTGGACCAGCCTCTGGGGATCCTGGAGATAAAGAATACGAGTGTCTTTCCTCGAGGAACAACCCCTTCCCGCAGAGAAGCCACCCCAAAGTGATCTCCACTGTACAGTGGGGAGCGGTGTCCCAAGAGCTGCTTGTGAACAACACGGATGGGCCTGCCAGATCGGCTGGCTAGAACTCACAATGCCATGAGTGCTCCTACACTAACTCTAACATCTTCTAGAGCTGAACCAAGAATGCAGAGGAGACCTTAATTTGATTCTGGTCCGCAAGATCTTGTAACAATAGTAACTACAAGTTATGAAGCATCTGCTATTGAAGCATCTCATCCAAGAACATCCAGGAAAAGAGGCAGAGCCTAAGTGAGCTTCTGAGGACTGTTCTGGCTACCATATCATGTCTAGTTAGCCAATTTTCCCTTCAGTCCTGATTACTATAGACCTGGGATTCATGTGTTTAAAAGTTAAGGGGAAAAAAGTACAAATTAGGTAAAATTGTACATAATTTGTGCTACATTACCCCCTTAGGATAAATGACTTTGCCCAGGATTTCTGGTCTCAGCACTGAAAGTGGAGTGTTTTGGGCAACTCCTCAGTTCTAGACAAACTGGCGAGTTACTTTATATACACAAAAGACTCTACACTCAAACGTGAGCTCGAGCTAGGTGGTAGCGGGAAAACTCAAGGACAGGACAAGGTCTCACGGCACCTCTCCCTCATGGAGCGGCCCAGACTTTTGCAGGCCAGCGGCCAAGTCACTGCAACGTCTCCCAACTGTCTGCTTGTTTTGTTCTCTGTGGCAGGGAGAGCCCGGAGAAGCAGCCTCTCAGGACAACCACATCTTCAGAGAGCTTTGCAAGCAACACCACCTTCTTCACTGCACCCCGGCTCCGGGCAAATGCACCGGTTGAGCTGCTTGGGCTGTGTGTGTGCAGTGAGGCCCCTGCCAGCAAAGGTGGGCATGCAACTTGGACACCTCCCAACAGTCACCCTTCGAGTCCACTGTAAGCAAATCTTTCTGAACTCCCACTCTGGCCACAGCTAGAAGTTAGCTTCCACACACACTATTGGCAGCCCCACCCCTTTTTAAGTTACACTGCTTTCTTTTTAAACAAAAAAGGGGAAATAATGACATAAACAGAATAGCATGGAGAAGATTTAAAATACGTAGTAAAAAAAAACAAAAAAACAAAAAGCATGTCTTATCCAAGTGGTTTTTGAAGAGCCACTTACATAAAAGATACAACTCACTTTTATGCAAATCTTTCCTCTATCGATTTTTGTTAAGTCTGCCATGCACTAGAATAATTCTAGTTAATGTGCACTTGGAAAAAAGAACAATGTCATTCTTTTAAAAATAGTCTTTATTTCACACAAGTACTAATTTTGGGTTAGTCTTCCTAGAAAAACTAGGACTTCACAAAATCTCTTTGGATTAAAACCTAATAAACAAACAAACAAACAAACAAAAGGTAACAAAAAGGAATTCAGGCCAAGGAATGGCAGTTACATAACTTGGAGTCAGGAATGCCGGTGGCTTACTTAAGAAAAGTGAAACAGATATAATGGCCACTTTCTTAGGCATCCACATGTGGATCTTACCAACTAAGACTGGAGGATTTCAAGCTCCAAACCATCTAAAATGGAAATGCTTTCCACACTACATGCTGAAGAACATCAGCAAAAGCTTCACAGAGACTAAAAAACAAAACACTGCTATGCTAAAACAAAACAAAACAAAACAAAAAACTGTGGACCCATATGACAAAAGGTTGTCCGCCCTATGGGTAAGCCAAGATTGATTTGTGTGTTATCAGTTATCGAATGCCCATCCACAAATGTCCAACCCACATGGTCTAGTTGGTGGCAATCATAGATTAAATTTATTAAAATTAATCACAGACTAAATCATAGTGTGATCTGTGTTTTAGCAGGGAGGCCTCGGTATAAAGTGATTGGATGATGGGGTGGGTTTGTTAGGGGGAAAGGATGCAGGTTTTGTGGACTCCACCCCTACTCCAGTCACTGAGACTACAACTCCCAGCAACACCAAAGGGTGGACTGGGAGGACCCAAGGGCAGAGCTAAGCAGCCATTTTGGGACTTTTGGGGATATACAGAGGAGCCATGTTGAGCTGAGGGGCTCTCTCTCTCTCTCTCTCTCTCTCTCTCTCTCTCTTCCTTGGCCTTGTAGCCGGTAGCTGGTCGCTTGGCTGTTGATGAGCTTTTAGTGTGCTATTGGGGTCCCAAGTCATCCAACTGTAGGATGCTCTAGTTAACTTCTCTCTCTCTCTCTGTCTTTCCCTGGGTTGTTCCTTTCTTACCCTTTGTAAATAAACTCATTGCTGCCCTTTTCGTGTGTGCCTGCGGTACACTTAAATCTTAGGCACGTGGGTAAGAATCCATAGGCAGCCCAGTGTGCCCTGTAACAGGTTGATGAGAGCGCAGGATCCGTGGACTGGGAGAGCCGGGGTCGTGGGGGGAGCGAGGCTCATCTTCACCTGCGCCTTGGTCCCTCGCTAACAGTGGGGCTCTACCTGTTCAGTCTCTACCTTCCTGGTGTGAGGGGAGGCTCCAGCGAGCGGGGAGATAAAGCACTGTGCCACTCAAGCGCTCTCTGAGGAAGGCACCCTCCTCATGCCACGGCAAGCACGGAGAAAAGGCAAGCACAGGTATTATGCTGCTCGGCGGGGTGTAGGGGCCGGCTGTCTGAATAGATTATTTCAAGACTGTCCTAAAATCTGCCCTTTTCATTTCTTAATATAAAAATCTGCAGTTTGATATGTAAAAGAAAAAAACCAGAAAGGAATGATTCCTTTTCCAGATGATGACAAATGCGTCTAACAAAAGGAGCCATCTCCCTACTCGTTGAAGGCTCTCTCTCCCTAGAGGCAGAATCGCTGTACGAGGGGTGAGCGGAGTGTGTCCAGCGGATAAACAGGGACGGGACGCAGCCAGCTGTGAAGCTGTATGTTTGGTGCTCAGGACGAGAGACTCCCAGGGATAAACACTGTTTACATAATCTTTATAAATATCTCTTCCTTTTATACTTATCATACTTTGGTGTCATTATGTACAGCCGAGTGAAAAGATGAACTCCCACTCACCTCTGAAATGCAAGAAGCGCCTTTCTCTGTAGGACCTCCTGCATCCCTCGCAAAGAAGCTAAGAAAAGGGTTCAATGAGTCAGTGGCACTGGGAGATCAGGAAATTTTTGACAAATAACAAAACTCTTCACAAAAACTATACATTCAGAGTGGATTCAAAGCTGCAATTTCTGGTGCTAACATGCTCAGTCCTGTCCCAGCGCTGCCCTGTGGTCAGAACAGTGGGATGGCAGCAGGGGAGAGTGTGACCTGGCTGGTCGCTCTTGGTGGCCCCAGGGACAGGTGGCTGTCTTGAAAGACCACCTGGAAACTCCAGGGAGGTGCACACCTGGTTTTTCAAGAGTGGCTCTACCAGGGTGGTTTGGAAGAGACCCCAGCACTGATGGTATGAATTCAATAGTCCTCAGAGTTCCTTCTGAAGCTACGATCCTGGGCCAAGAGCACTTGCTTGATGCCACAAAAGGCCACTCTGTTAACACCAGGCCATGGCCAGGACCTTTAACATTGTGATGGAACACAAGGGAGCGACAGATCAGGCAAAGTCAGCTCCAGCGTGTGAAGCCATCGCGCTGTGTCAATATGTCCTCTGTGAGCAGGTGAGAAATGCTTCCCTCAGCGTCTGCTTCGGGAACTACACAGGTACTTTCTGTTGGGCCAACAGAAAGCTCTAGAGAAAGGGTGTTTACAGTTGGGTCTGCGGGAGCCTTATCTAACAACAGCGACAGATCTTATCCTGCATGGCGCTGAGCCTGGAGGAAGGCTGTCCTGGGGATGTGGGTGGGGCTGGAGCCCAGGACACCCGCTTGGTGTTGAACCAGGACAGGTCTGAGGGAAACTGGCAGAACCATAAATACAGGATGAGACCCAGCAGAGTCCAGTGACTCCCCAAAGTTGTAAGACTTTTGAAGGGTAGAGTCCAAATTAAGAATTTATATGGATAAATATGTAGCATTAAATTTAGAATTCAATAAAAGTTTACTGTTGTTAGAACAATGTGCTGGGTATTGCCAAGATGTTGTGTACATGAAAAACATTAGAAAAAAATCTATTATTGAAAATTAACTTTTATGCAAGACTGCTCCAGAGCCTTTGATATTTTAGGGCCAAGGAAAACAGATTTGGGTAAGTTGTAATATCATGAAGAGAGGACCATGAAAGTCAGACTGGTGTCTTTTCTTAAGAGAACATGTGGAGGGCACCTCAGTTGGCGAGTAGGGGGGAGGGAATCTGTCTCCTGAACTAGGGAGTCATCACAGGAATATCTGACCTTGTGCTAATTCATGAAAATATACATTCATTTTTGAGATTTGTTTTGTGTCATATTGAAAAACAAAGTGTTAACAGGATAATAGTAAGAGTTTAGAAAAGCAATTTATCGATTGATCTTTTCTATTTACATATAATCAGAAATTTCATTAAGTGTACAAAACATGCATCAGTAAAATTTGGTAACAAAGTAAGGTATGTGAATGGAGAAGAGGCAGGTCGTGACTGGTCCAGGGAAACTTCTAGTGTGGATGACCCTGAACTCAATATCCCTGCACCTGAGACCCAACACCCCTTCACTCGGGACAGCCCAGGCCAGGGTAGGGGCAGAGGCAGGCTGGGCTGGGTGTAGTCTGGCGCACCTGGCATCTCACGTAGAGGCTCCGCACCCCCAGCGGGGAGCCCCACGCACACTGCCCCTGGAGGAGGGTCTGGAACCCTGGCACTCATCCTCTGTGCCTCCTCTCCCCTTCCACAATCAGCCCCAACAGACGGGACAGCAGTAGTGGGGTACGCACATGTAAGAACAGCCCGATTTGTGGGCTGTCCCTAGGGAGCAGGGGGTGGACCAGGCAGCCCAGCCCTGGCCCAGCTCCGTGGGGGAGGGGCTCGCTCACCGTCCGTGGCCTGCAGACTGTATGTGAGCCCCAGAGCTAAGTAGCCTTTGGCCTTGAACTCAGACGTTTTCTCTCCTGCGTCAACCACAGTTTTGGCGAACTTCTCAGCTTCTTCCAACTGAAAAACCAGACAAGTTAAAACAACAACGTGCAGAATTTCTAACATGCATTCCCATGAGCATCTGCTGCCAGAAGTGGATTTCTGATGAGTCACTGTGAAAATGATGACCAAATCTTCCACTTCCACTTTGGTGATTCTGCTCCCTATGTGAGAGGCTCTGGAATAGTCCTCGGCAGCACGACCTGACTGATTCTCTGTCATGTCCCCTACCTACTTTTTGTCTTACCGTCCAGAGTCACTTTCATCCTTGGAGAGGTTGGTGGGGCTGGTGGGGCTCTATCTTTTCATCGTCACTTTTTGCTGACTGGTTTAGGAATTAGGTTGTGCTAGGTATTTGAAACTACATATGTCTGTAAGTAATAAAATCCTGGAAGAGTTTCATGTTTGGGTATTTCCATATTTTATTATGACATAAAGAATCCATTGAGGCTTGGGTCCTCTTTTCCCACAGCTGTGAACCATTCGGGAACCCGATCACACAACCACACACACGGAACCGGCCTAGCAGCTCCAGCGGGAAAGGGCACCTGGAACCCAGGCCCGCTCAGGCCCACAGAGAGCCCGGCTCCACTCGCCACTGGCTGAGGCAAGCCTGGTCCTTCCAGAGTGGGGCCAGCGTGGGCACAGCGGGAGCTGGGGCATTCTACTCTGCCTTGGGGTGTTTGGAAATTTCAGTAAAACTGAGGAGAATATATACAGAAAAGATTTTAATCTTATTTTGAAAAGTTTCGTTTGAGGTACGAGCGGTCTGTGCTGTAGCGGAGGGAGCAGGAGGCTGGCATCTGCAGGGCTGTCACCCCCCAGGTTTGAAGCAAAATTTAACAGAAGGGGAGCCCGTTCTTCACCAGGCATCCTTCTGTTCTGCTGCATGGGAGTAAATGGACCAAAACAAGCAGCAAGGGCCACAGATAAAAAACCTTAGCAAAGCTCCTCAGTCTCTGAGGCAAATTCTTCTAGTCACTAATCTCGAGAAGTTAAGGAAAAATCATGACTCCATTGTACACGGCAGTCATCTCTACCACCACCTCAGCAAGTAGTCTGAGTTTTCCGCTTTCTACTCCGATAGTATCCTTTGGAAGTATGAGAACTGTTACAAATCAGGCTATTCCCAAATTCAAATATGAACACGACTATTTGAAGAGAGTCTAGGTGAAGGAATAGCAAAGAAGAAAGTTGTGTTTACACATGAACTAAGGGAGAGGGGGATTCTTAGCATTATAGGAAATCTCAGTCTGGCTAAGAGGGTATCATTTGGTAACATTTACCTTTCCTGCCCTACAGGTCTTACATAAAGCAAGAGACATGTGAACACAAATTCCAGCGTCACCCTGTCATGGTGACCTCAAAGCACATTCCCTAAAGGCTGGAGAACCCCATCACTGAGTGAGCTCAGTCACTAACTTTGCCCTCCTGGTCCAGGGCTGGAAACCCATGGCCCTGCCAAGGACCTGGGGCTGTGAGCAGCCTGGGGTCTGTGGGGCTGAGGCTTGACTGCCATTTTCTCTCTGTCTGGACGTAAAACAGGGCGGCGCCCAGCCCACTCACCCAGTGCAGGGAGCCCATGCACAGCTTGGCGGCCAGGAGTGGGATGGTGGCGTCATCGGGCCTCAGGCGGATGCACTCTTTCAGCACCTTCACAGCACGGGCCGACTGAGGAGGAGAGCATGGCTGTGAAAATGCTCCGGAGATAATGCCGAAACCACACTAGAGCCTCCCTGGGGGATCTCTGTTGAGGGCACCTTTTTATAAGTTTCCCCAACTTTGAGTCCAGCCCAGCCTGGGGGTGAGGAAACCCACTTCGAGTGAAGGGGGTAAGAGGTGAGGAAAACAAGTAGAACTGTTTCCCTGGAGTCACCTCATCTTGGCCATTTTCTGGGTAGCCATTGCCAAGGCAGGAAAAATAAATCACTGGTACCTCAGGTTACTATAAAAATCAACCTGTCCAATTAAAAGTACACTAAATTTGGTTCAATTTAGGCCAAATCATCTCACCTCTCAGACCTGACAAGTGGCTGGATGGCAGGTTGACTAGATGGCCGGTCTCACCAAGCACACAATGGCTCCTGTCTTTCCTAAGGCAGCTTTTCTACACACCTTACGGCCATTATCTCATCTACCTGAGGACAGCTCTATGCCACTGGCAAGGAAGCTGAGCTCGCGGGTGGCTGGCCTGGGTCTCACCGCTGGGAGGGCAGCCGGCCTCTGCTCCTCAGCATGAGCTTTGGGTTTCACCTGCCCCAACATACCGCTGACAGACCTGAGTGCTCTCCCCTCCAGGAATAAGTCCCTACTCTCACGTCAGTGAGAGCATCAAGAACTGGGCTTGGGCTGAGCCACCCTTCACAGCAGGAAGTCGAAGCTGCTAGAAGAAGGCAAATCTTTCCAAATGTTTCTTTTCAATGTTTCTCTTTGCTCCCAAATAACTAAGTTTGATAGCGCCTTTACACATGACTACAGGCCATTTCCAAAGGTGGTTCAGCTTCTACTGTTCTATCACCTCTTGGAATTCAAAGACACGGACCGTGGACGCAGGGAAGGGTGTGGCACAGAGAGCAACTCACTTTCCCGGCTGCCATGAGTGACAGGGCGAACTGGTACCAGAGGTGGAACTCCTCGAAGGCAAACTTCATGGCTCTTTCTAAGCACTGGTTCGGGAAGAAGAACACACATGGACCTGAGAACGGCCAGTGACCCACTGGACAGGTGCACACTGTGATGCGACGCTCAGGGGAGGCCTACGGAATCCGTTTCCCGGACTGTTTCGAATATGATTCTCCACAAACCCTCCCGAGGAGTCAGTCCCCAGGGTGTGACATCCTGTGCCGGAAGCCAGGATGGTATGCAGCTGACTAACAACACTCCGATCTCAGGCAGCTTTCAGCATGGGACCTGGGAAGAGGCAGGTACACAGATGACTCAAACGCCAGGCTGGACAGACAAGCACCCCAGAGCAGGAAACAGGGAGCAAAGTGACGCAGGCGCCAGGATGGCATCCTGGAGGAAGGGGTATGGACAGGGTTCTGACTGATGAGCAGGGAGAAAAACTACAGTTATGACACAGAAACGGCACTCCAGGAAGGGGGAACCACAGTTGGGAGACTTTGACTTGGCAACATAAGGATCCAGCCTAGGGCACCTGGGTGGGAAAGGGAGAATTCGGCTGGAGGACGGAGGTGGGTGGGGGCCACTTCAGAGTCTGGGATGGCAGTTCCTGTTCGAAGTAGTTCCAGCTCCCTCCTCCACGCCAGCTGTGGAGCTCTGTGCTCCTCCAGGTCCCAGCTGTCTGCTAATGGGACTCCCTCTCCCCACCCAGCACCACCCAGAGACACTGGCAAGGGCAGAGATCACCAGGGGGCTTTGCTCTCAGCAAGGAGCCTCAGGTTTCTGCAGTGACTCGACCACATCAGAGCTTTAGGAAGTTCGTGGCTGGGAAGGGGGAGCCAGGATGGAGGTAGGCCAAGAGGAAAGATGATGGACAGATTCAGAAACTTCACAACCATGGGCAAGAACTAAGAAATACATTAGAATTAGCGAGCATGGATCAGTCAAGGATGGGGGAGGTTGGGTTGGTTTAGGAACTGAAGGAGGCTCCCAGAGTGTCTGGCCTACATACCTGGTAGCAAAGCCATGGGTTATATTGTGTGTGTGTGTGT